TTTAATAAAACCCAGCCCAACTGGGTTTGTTAAACCTGCGGCCCCAAGTCGGGGCGGCCTCGGTGGTAAGATGGCGCCGGTGTAAGAGCTGCCTCCTCTTAGTGATGGGGAAAGGGTCATAAATCCGTTGTTGTTTATGAAAATTTACAACTTTGCAATACAACTTTATGAGTTGTTCGGCCCTTCCATTGGCCGCTGTCGGTCATGTGGATGGGAACCGTGAACATGAACTTTTTTATAATTTCCCTTGCGAGAATAGAGCCGCATTCTTTTGCTCCGCTCCGTCCTGCCTGCTTCGGAGCTCTGCCTTCCAGCTGGCCTTGGCTGCGCTTTGTCCGGCGATGGCGAGCGAGACGAGGCCCTGGCCCGGCCCGACCCGGCCGCTCCCGCTGGAGGTGGGGCGCGTTCAGTTCCCGGCGCCGCGGCGGCCGCTTTGCAACTCGCAACCTGGCTAATTTCCTGCGTCCTCTGGCACCAGGAAGGAGGACGATTCGTCTCCCCGGCTGCCCAAGCGACAGCTGTCAGAGGGGCAGGAGCTTCTGGGAGCCGCCATCTGAAGGTGAGACATGTGGGGAGACAAGAGCAAAGGTGGTGAGATGGCAGCCGGCGCCAGCGGCGGTGGGAGAGGGCACCCAGGGCGGCTTTGAAGAGGGGCATACTCACCCTCGCCCACACTCACCGTTCACACTTGCCCCCATCACACGCGCGTGCACACGCGCGCGCGCGCACACACACACTCCCTTTCTCTCTCCTCTCCCTGGCTCACCATGGCAGTAAATGCCAGCCTTCCTTCCGTGGCACAGCGTCCTGGCATGGGGCAGGAGCACTGTGGTCTTCTCTCTCCTCTTCCCCAGCGACCTTGCCGAGCCCCAAAAGAAGTGGCCCTGCACTCAGCGTTCCCAACCAGCCTCTCCGGTTTGGATTTTTTTTTTTTTTTTTTTTTCATTCATGACCCAATTGGCTCGACTGAATTCCCCAACACCTGGAGACAGTTCCCAACCTGGGGAGGTGGGAAGAGGTGAGGGCGGAGTGAATTAATTGACATGCGTTTTATTAGTATCAACACAGCACCTTCTGTTCCGAGGGAATCGGTTTCTGGAGAGAAAGGTAGAATGAGGAAAAAACAAACAAAAACTTACTAATTCAGCCAGGTTCGTCTGCTGATTGCGTGCTTCCCTTCACGCGGTTTTCCGATGACAGAGGTGGTCTGAAGCGCGGGGAGAGGGACTAGGTGCGTGGGTGGTACTCTGTGTTGGAGGAGAGGATGGGGTTAATTGACTGGGTGTTGCTTGGCGGGAAGTTTCGGTGCAGAGAATGTAGTGGTGTTATTGAGTGTGGCAGGGGCCGCAGCTAAGGTTGAAGGAAGGACGCAAACCGAGTCTGGGCGTTAGGGGGACCCCCCACCCACCTCGGCGCAGCCGGCTGGCGACCGCACGCCCCACTTTCCGCGAGCGGGGAGAGGACTGTGGAGCCGCCGGGGAGGAGGCACGGAGGGTGCCGGGGGCGTCGGCTTTATGTGGCGCGGTGGCACAGACTGGGTGAGCCTCGGCCAGATTTGCCCCAGGAGCTTCCTGGGACTGCGACCAGAAACGATCCTGAGGTTCTGGGCTCGAGTTCTTTTTGTTTGTTTTGTGGCTTTGGTTGTTGTTTTCCCACCTTAAGATAATACCTTGGTATGCATTCGAAAATTAAGAAGGGGCTGTGGATGTTTGGGACGGCCACGCGCGCTGTGGGTGCGCTCAGGGCGGATAAAGCCGCGCTTTTGCGTCGTTGGGCCGCGGGCTGCCTGACTGCGGCTGCCGCGGGCAGATTATTTATTGCGACCGCGCCGGGCGCTCGCTGCTGCCACGCTGTGGCCGTCGCCGGGACCGACGCCACCCGCAGCCCCGCGTCGTGCAGCCTGGCGCGACCGCTGCGCGGGCCCCTCAGAGATTCCCAAGCAGGCCGAGGAGAGCCGGGCAAGGGAGGACCCGAGGGGCGGCCTCCCAGGGCCTGTCGGGAGCCTCCCCTGCCTTGGCCACCCCTGACAAGAGCTGGACGCCCGACTAGACTCGGGTCCTCCCCCCACCCCCAGCGCCATGGAGACTGGTTGCACAGGCGGCCTGGCACGTCATGGCTGCTTCTGTCCAAACTGCGCGACCCAAGGCGCCCCCGGGGCGCACGCTGGTGCGGGGAAGGCGCCCGCTTCGGGATTTCGAAATCGGAGAGACCACTGCTGGTCCCGAGGCCTGCAGGCCTGGCTGGCCTTGAGGAGGATTGACTATGGCAAGAAAGGCGGGCTTTGGCGTCAGGCGAGGGCCTGTGACAGGCAGAGGCCGCACCTGTATGCTATGGCCTGGGCTACAGATCGAGGCGGCCCGGGTGGCCCTCAAGGTCCCCCGCCCCCACCCCACGGCAGGCCGCCCTTCAGGCTGGCGGAGGTCGAGGTGGCAGCCCAGGGAAAGGGCGGACTGTGGGGCCCTGCACGCCATCCAGTCCCCTTTGAAGAGGGGCTGAAAGGTAAGTGGACTTTCTCTGTGGTTTGACCTAGAAGAGAGAGTCCTGGTAGCCATTCTCACTATCCCAGGAGAGGCTCCCTCCAGCGTCTGGGGCTCCTATTCTTGCCTGAGTGTGTGTGTGTGTCTCTCTCACTCTGTTTCTCTCTCTCTCTCCATATATATATAGGCACCTAATGCTGGTTGGAGAAATAAATTGGGCCATTGCCAACATAACATGTACCAGACTTGGCTAACACGTAGAGATTTCAATTTATGTTTTTCTATCTCAGCGCCTGTAGAAGCTAGAAATACAATGTTTTTTGGCTCTTAGCTGAGAAATCAAATTCTGTCATTGTCTGGGGGTAATTATTAGATCAAGAATCCAAGTCAAAACATAACAAATAATAACAATAGTAGTATATGGAGTAAACTGCCATCAGTCCCAATACTGTGTGAGACCTGGAGGTATGACACAGAAATTATAAATGTAAACATTTATCAACATCTCCCAACAGTTATTTTTGTCTTACACAATAATAATTTGTTTGAAATCACTGTCTTCTGATGGTCTTGTTTAAGAAACAATAACTCAAACATGATTTTCTTTGGACATAGCTTTTAAAAAATAGTTCCCTTTAGAATTTTTAACTTGAGTTTTCATTTTCAGCTATCGTGTCCATTCTCTGAGGAAATTCGAGGGAAATGTTACATTCTATCCTCTCCTGCCAGGTCCTTCTTTATATATGGAAGGGAGAAACTTTCCCAGCTTGGATTGGTTGGGGCACAGGCAGAAAGCTTCTGGGTGCAGCCCCCATCACGTGGGGAGAAACCACTTTCAAGGGTGCTTGCTAGGTTCTGTGGAGGCTACCCGTAGCCCAGTCCTTTCCCAGTTTTCCCCCTTTGAGGGAAGTGAGGGCAGGGGGGGAAAAATCAAAAAGCAAGGAAGAGGTTAAGGAAGTCGTTGGCAGATTCCTAGGAGGGCATAGCCACCCCCACCCAAGTCCTGAACCCCATGAGCCTGCATTCACCAGAGTTTTACAGATCTTACAAACATCCCCTGGAAACTCAACCAAATTGTATAAATAGTCTTTCTTCAGCCTCCGCAGAACTGAGGATTTTAAAGCTAATTCAAGGGTTTTACAAGCCCAACAAATACAGTTGTAAAAATGCCATTGGAAAGATATCACATTTTACAAAATGAGATTGATCCATGTGCTGTAAAAGTCAGCTATCTCGAAGGCACACCTATCAAGCAAGGGAAAGCAACCCAGGACATGCTTTTCACGTCCTGTCTGGGGAAGGCCAGGCCTGGGACCAGGGTGAAAAGCAATGCAGACGGTTCCTGGAGCCGGTGAAGCAGCTATTCCCGGTTTTAGAGCAACTGCAGGTGGCAGGCCCCCAAAGTCCCAGGAAAGGCATGGAAGAGGGTACACCCCAGGAAAGTGCGGGCTGTAGGGTGCCCCGCAAACCAAGCACACCAATGATCTCACAGCCTTGGGACATCCCAGCTGCCCTCTCTCCCTGGCTTGGCAGGGACCTTGGGTCGCTGGGCCTCCGGAATGAGGACGAGATTCCACATCTGGATCTGTCTCAGCTCTGAGCAGTCCGGGTGTCGGGAGGGCGAGTCCCAAGTGCTGGGCGAGGAGAGCAGGTCCCACGGCCGGCTTCGGAGCTCGGTCTCAAGGCCACTCCTCTGTTGGTCCCTTTCTTGTTGAAACCAGTGGTTTCTGGCCTCTCTGTTCCTGGGTTCAAAGGTGGGACGGGGACGCACAGCTTGTGGGGTGCTTTGAGGCCACGAAGGCGCTGGCCATTGGAGGGGGGAGTCCGTCGGGACTCAAAGGAGACGTGTTGTATGTGGGAGGATGGGGCCGGCGGGGGAAGACGTTTGGCCGCATCGTGGTCAGCTCGAGGTGAGCCTTCCGCGGCAGCGAGGCCCAGGCCCTGGCTGGAGGTGGGGAAGGAGAGCAGGAAGGGATGCACCGATTCCTAAGGTGCAGGAGTGAGGAGCAGGGCGTGAAGGCCTGGGTTCTCAGACCCCCTTCTCCAACTCTGGAACCCGCACCCACCGGTAGGGGAGTGCAGAGGGAGGGGCAAACTCAGGGCAGACCGACGGGGAGCAAAGCCTTCGTTGTCACCGCCCCTCCGGGCGCGGGGCTGTCAGGTTTCCTGTTTGGAAAGAAAACCCAGCAAAATCCGACCAGGCAAAAAGGGGAGGAGGAAGGAGCGGGCCTGGCGGGCCCTTTGCGGCGGCCCGGACTCTAGTGCCCCTACCCCGGCCTGATTCGCACGCCCCTACCCGGGCCGTGCCCGCCGCTGGCGTTCGGGAAGAGAGCCGGGCCGGCTGGCTGTGCGCGCCCATTAATCTGCCGGGCGGGCGGCGGGCGGGCGGGCTGGGGGCTGTTTGTAACTTTGCTGCCTCGGTCGCCGCGGTCCCCGGGGAGCGGGCTCCGGCGCTCGCTCCCATTGGCCGCCGCCGCGTCAGCTGGTGCGATTTGCGGCTGTCGCTTTTGGCGTTCGGCCATCCAGAAACAAACCAGTTCGATGACTACTAATAGTTATAGCCAGATGTACTAATACACAACAAATCACAGTCCTGCAGAGGGGCGCGCAAATGAGTTCCTATTTTGTGAATCCCACTTTCCCCGGGAGCCTGCCCAGCGGCCAGGACTCCTTCTTGGGCCAGCTGCCCCTCTACCCGGCCGGCTATGACGCGCTGAGGCCCTTCCCGGCCTCGTACGGGGCGTCGAGCCTCCCGGACAAGACGTACACCTCACCTTGTTTCTACCAACAGTCCAACTCGGTCCTGGCCTGCAACCGGGCGTCCTACGAGTACGGGGCCTCGTGTTTCTATTCTGATAAGGACCTCAGTGGCGCCTCGCCCTCGGGCAGTGGCAAGCAGAGGGGCCCCGGGGACTACCTGCACTTTTCTCCCGAGCAGCAGTACAAACCCGACAGCAGCACAGTGCCGGGCAAAGCCCTCCATGACGAAGGCACCGACCGGAAGTACACGAGCCCTGTTTACCCCTGGATGCAGCGGATGAACTCCTGCGCGGGTAAGGCATTTCCCTGCAGCCCCCGCAAGAGAGTAGAGGGAGAGGGGGAAAGGGGCAGGGAAAGGAGGAAGGAAGGAGGAGACAGAGAAAGTAGAAAGAGGAAATAGAAAGCAAGGAGGAGAGAATGAACAAAGTTTCTTTGGCTTTTTTAAGAGATTAAAAAGCCAATACAAAAACCAGCCCATTCCCAGTGAGGCAATCAAGCTGTGGCAGAGTGAAGGCACTAGTATCCATGTAAGGTGACACCTTAGGGGATTGAGAGGGGTCACTACCACTCTATGTGAGACTCTGTGACAGGGGCAACCTGAACACACAGCTAGGCTGGATGGGAGGGAGTGCCTGCCCACACTTCCCCCTGGTAACACCCTGCTCAGATCCCCAAGCAGAGATGGCCTTCTGCAACCATCACTGGTAACTCCCCTTTACTCCCCAACCCCTCTCCTTTCTGCCTTTCAGAAACCTATATAGATAGAGGCTCTCATTTGGCCTCTCCTAGTGTCTCCCTAAAGCCTTGGAGGGCCACATCCCCAGCCTCAGGATTTTTTCTTTCTCCTCCCTTCCCTCCTCCCCCTTCCACTCAATTGCTCCCTCTTAGCCAACTTCTGCCTCCTTTTGAGGCCCTGCCTGAGTCTCACACACCCAGCTTGGGGGGAGCCCCCCACTCATGGCCTCCTTTGGCACCAGAACAGATAGCCCATCACAGTCCTACATTTCCAGAAACCCCAGATGGCCCATAGCTCCATCCCTTTGCCTCTGGTTTCCAAAAATTCGACAGAGAATCCTTGGAGCAGGGCAGAACCTAATGCAGATTTTTAAACTGATAGTGTTTTGCTTTAAGATCCACTTGTTTTTTCAAGGGAGCTCTGCTTTTCTCAGAAGGACCATATAATTTTGGGGGGGGGAGTTTGCAAAGATTTGAGAGGGCTGACCATTTTTCATCTTTAAAAGAAAAAAGAAAACCATGTTGAGTCCTGTCATGTCTGGCCACAGTAACACCTTCACAGAGATCCGTGTGTGAATTCCGAGTGTCCACCCTACTCACAGGGTTCCACACCCATCACTTCCAGACACACGCCCTACACTCCCACAAAAACACGACTCAGGTACCCCGAATTAAGAATGCTCATTCTATTCTGTTGCTTGTAATGGTTTTCTTACAGAGCAGATTTTTCAAAAACAGTAACTTCTCACTCCAAGTTGTTTTAGGTGGAAAACATCTCGCCTGGTATGAAATAATCTTCTCCCATCCTGCCGGCTTTTGGCCTTAGACATAGCGAAAGAGGCTGGAGTGGAGGCGGGTGGTTTCCAGTTTAGAGGCCAGGGGAGCTGGGCGCGGGTCTGACTGGTTCGGCTGCCGGGATCCTGGCTCACCGGCGCCCGGCCATTTCTACCCGCAGGTGCTGTGTATGGGAGTCACGGGCGCCGAGGCCGCCAGACCTACACGCGCTACCAGACGCTGGAGCTGGAGAAGGAGTTCCACTTCAATCGCTACCTGACGCGGCGCCGCCGCATCGAGATCGCCAACGCGCTCTGCCTCACCGAGCGCCAGATCAAGATCTGGTTCCAGAACCGCCGCATGAAGTGGAAAAAGGAAAATAAACTCATCAACTCCACACAGCCCAGCGGGGAGGAGGCTGAGGCAAAGGCGGGCGAGTAGACGCCTGGGCAGGGACCAGGCCAGCGCCGCAACCTCCCTCGGCTTTGCCCCCTTGCCTTCGCCTGCTCCCCAACTTTTCTCCCCCGCCTGCTCCCATCCGGGGGGCCTCTGCAGCTTCAGGGGAGCCGGGAGCTTTGCAAACGCCTGAGCATTTATTTCTTACCAAAAAAAAAAAAATCCTACACACAGCCAATCCCAGCGGTGGAGCGGGGCGCACTGCACATACAGTCCCACTCTCCAAGGCTGCCCTAGCCGGCTCCGGCTCCCAGGGCGCGCCCCGAATTCGTCCCCGGCTCTTGTGCTAGCGCCTTTGCGTGCCCCTGAGCTCAGGACGCAGGGGTGCTGGAGAGGAAAGAACCTGGGCCGAGCCCCTTTTGGTGTCTGGGCGTTTTCGCCCCTTTCCCTCGCCACCAAGTCCCGGACGTCACCACCAAATCGACTCAGGCCACTGGAAAGAGGGGGCCTAAAGGCTGGGGCCCCAGCACTGCGGTGGCATCCCAGGCCGCTCCTAGACAGGAAGAAGCGTGAGGAACAAAGGGGGCCCTGAGACAGCCTAGTCTCTCGGCCCCGCGCGCAACCGTCCGTGGAAGAGAAGCAGCCTCAGCCGAGCCGATCCAACCTGGGCGCGGGTGGAACTTCACAGCCCCCGGAGAGACTGGGCTCCCGAAGACAACAGCTCCGGATCCCGGATCCCGGATCCCCGCCTCCGATAATGCCTGCGCTGCTACCAGAGTAGCTTTCAGGACCTAAGGAGGGGGCTCAGGGCCATGGGAACGGCAAGAGTCCTGGTTTCCAAATGTGCCAGGGGTGCCTGGAACGCTCAGCCTCCAGCGGGAAGTACCCCTCATGCCTTTCGGCTTTATTTGTGATTTACTTTCGTCTTTCAGGACCCAGGAAAATAACTAAGAAGATAGTAGGCACTGCCACGAAATGCTTCCATTAGCACCCTCATTTTGCTCCTGGAGGTCTAAGCAAGACCCTAATAATTCGGCCCAAGGATCCTCAGGCTCCAAGCAGCTTCTGTGCCTGCGGGGAGTCTGGGCCCACTCGCTGAGTTCAGGGAGAACCCTCCGACTTGGGGCCCGGCTGCCTCGAGGAAAGGGACCTGGTGGTGAAGATTCTCCAGATTGGATACTTAAAGCAAATCAAATAGCGAACTAATGACACGAAAACCGTATTTACACGAAAGAAAAATCGACTCCGGTTATAAAAGTGTATGGAATTTGACCTCGCCTCGGAGAAACACTACACAAAAGCTATCTTTAATAGACGCCTGTCATTTAAGAGCGGCAGGGACACTGTCCCTCATGCACTCACAGAAAAACAGAGCCGTAATTGTAGCTGCTGCTGCGGGCAGGATTTATTTCTCCAATTGGCTAAACGGCCTCCCCCCTTCCCCGAAGGTGGTATCTGTATTTTCAAATTTCAGAGCTGCCGGCACGACGGGCAGAACCGACCCCAACCTCGACACAAAAATAAGAGGGGCTGCACAGCGGGGAAATAAAGTTGTTGTAAATAAAATCCAAGTCACCATCTCCCCCCAATCCTCTGCATCCTCGCCGGGCGCGCGATCGGCAGCTGACGGCCTCACAATTGGTACATCCTAATGGAACTGCGAGGGAAATGCAATAATTTTGCCATAATGGGCTGTAACCTCAATTCGACCCCGGCCCTTGCAGCCCTGGGTCGGAAGCGGAGCGATGCGCCCTGCCTCCAGCGGGTGGCGCTCGAGTCCGACTGAACGGCGGCGGCGGGTGGCGGGCACGCGCCTAGGGCGCGCGCGCCACCCCTCTCGCCTCCACCCAACTCCCCCATTAGTGCACGAGTTTACCTCTAGAGGTCATCAGGCAGGATTTACGACTGGACAACAAAAGCACGTGATTCGAAGTCGTACCCCATATTTGGGTGCCTACGTAGGAGGGAACCAAGTACATGTCCCAGTCATTTCCATAATTCATCATAAATTGTGCAAGGGTGCTATAGACGCACAAACGACCGCGAGCCACAAATCAAGCACACATATCAAAAAACAAATGAGCTCTTATTTTGTAAACTCATTTTGCGGTCGCTATCCAAATGGCCCGGACTACCAGTTGCATAATTATGGAGATCATAGTTCCGTGAGCGAGCAATTCAGGGACTCGGCGAGCATGCACTCCGGCAGGTACGGCTACGGCTACAATGGCATGGATCTCAGCGTCGGCCGCTCAGGCTCCGGCCACTTTGGCTCCGGGGAGCGCGCCCGCAGCTACGCGGCCGGCGCCAGCGCGGCGCCTGCCGAGCCCAGGTACAGCCAACCGGCCACGTCCACGCACTCGCCTCCGCCCGACCCGCTGCCCTGCTCCGCCGTGGCCCCCTCGCCCGGCAGCGACAGCCACCACGGCGGGAAAAACTCCCTGGGCAACTCCAGCGGCGCCTCGGCCAACGCCGGCAGTACCCACATCAGCAGCAGAGAGGGGGTTGGCACGGCGTCCGGAGCCGAGGAGGACGCCCCCGCCAGCAGCGAGCAGGCGAGCGCGCAGAGCGAGCCGAGCCCGGCGCCGCCCGCCCAACCCCAGATCTACCCCTGGATGCGCAAGCTGCACATAAGTCATGGTAAAGCCAGCCTTTCTCTAAATCCACGCGGCTGCGGGGGGCGCGGCTCTCGGTCCCCCTTCTCTTCTTTACCGCCCTCTCTCCCCATCTCTCTCCTGGTCTCGCCTCTCCCAGCCCTGTGGAGTCTCTCCCCGCCGTTCTCCTTCCCCTGCCTTCCTCCTTTCACCTTCTCGTCTCTGCAGTGCCCAACGCTCGCAAATGGGAGGAGGGGGGAGAAGAAGGGCCGCTGGCCAGGCAAGTTTAGATGTTGAAACCGGGGGAAAAGGAAAAATCCCATATCGAACCCCAGCGCCTCGGAACGCGCTCCCGGGTCAGGCCAGCCGAGCAGGGCGCAGAGAGGTAGAGGATGGCAGTAGGGGCCGTGAATCGGGCTTGTCAGGGCGGATAATTTATGAGGAGGGCTACGCTGGGGAAACAGCGTTACTAATTAGAGTCCCCGAAAAGGGGCTTGGGGGGGAATAATCGAGGCGAGAGCCGGCGGGATTCTGAAGTTTGGGAGCAGAAGGGACAGCAGGAAAGGGAAGAAAAAGAAAGCAGGCGCCCCAAGCGTGCAGGCTGGAACAGAAGGCGGCTCGCGGGGCTGGAACTTTAAGGGAGGGTGACCTGGAGGCCACTTGGGCGCTCAGGAAAGGGCCTTGCTTCCGTGGGTGTCTGAGAGGTGGGCTGCCTGGGAGGGCTGTGCCCCGCCTCAGGACGCCAGGGGCAGGGCCAGAGGGCAGGAGAGGGGTGAAGGAAAGCCGGGCGATCCTCCGGGACGCGCGGCTCCAGCCTCAGATGGGCCGATTGTTCCCAGAGTCCAAATTGTATTGTTTTCTCTCTAGAAAGGAAGAGGGAAGGAAATTCTGGAGGGGTGGGCGGGCGAGGAGAGAGGACTTGTTGAGCTTTTCTCCCCTGTTCCCTGCTCAGGACCCTAGCTCGACTTGGGTAACCAGGGACTGAGGAGTTGGTGGCTAAATCGCCGACTTTTCTGTTGCAGACAACATAGGCGGCCCGGAAGGCAAAAGGGCCCGGACGGCCTACACGCGCTACCAGACCCTGGAGCTGGAGAAGGAGTTCCACTTCAACCGCTACCTGACCCGCCGAAGAAGGATTGAAATAGCACATGCTCTTTGCCTCTCCGAGAGACAAATTAAAATCTGGTTCCAAAACCGGAGAATGAAGTGGAAAAAAGATAATAAGCTGAAAAGCATGAGCATGGCGGCGGCGGGAGGGGCCTTCCGCCCCTGAGTATTTGAGCGTTTAAAGTACTGAGCAGTATTAGCGGATCCCGCGTAGTGTCAGTACTAAGGTGACTTTCTGAAACTCCCTTGTGTTCCTTCTGTGAAGAAGCCCTGTTCTCGTTGCCCTAATTCATCTTTTAATCATGAGCCTGTTTATTGCCATTATAGCGCCTGTATAAGTAGATCTGCTTTCTGTTCATCTCTTTGTCCTGAATGGCTTTGTCTTGAAAAAAAAAAAAAATAGATGTTTTAACTTATTTATATGAAGCAAGCTGTGTTACTTGAAGTAACTGTAACAAAAAAGAGAAAAAACACACACAAAAATGTCCCCCTTCAACCTCGTTTAGTGCCAATGTTGTGTGTTGCACTCCAGTTGTTTAACTGTGCATGTGAGTGGAAGTGTTCCTGTCTCAATAGCTCCAAGCTGTTAAAGATATTTTTATTCAAACTACCTATATTCCTTGTGTAATTAATGCTGTTGTAGAGGTGACTTGATGAGACACAACTTAACTTGTTTGACGTGTAGTGACTAGTGGCTCTGTGACGAAAACTGTGACTCCGAGCGGTGTGTCCCTGCGTGCCTTTGTAGGACCCTTTGCACGAACTCTGGAAGTGGCTCTCATAAGCGCAGCTTCAGTGATGTATGTTTTTGTGAACAAAGTTACAAATATTGTCCGAGTCTGGCTGTTTAAGCAAACTGTGATCAGCTTTTTTTTTTTTTTTTTTTTTTGTATTTGTTTTTAAGGAAAAAATACTGACTGGAAACAAAAAAATAAACTTTCTATTGTAAGTTCTCTTGGTCTGGTTTGTGCCAAAGTAGCAAGCGGCTCTTTCTGCTCTTCTGTCTGTCCAGTGCTGGAAGGCAGTGAGTCTGAGGCTACCTGAGCAGCCTGCCTGCGCAAGGAGACCTCAGACCAACACCCTGACCTGCGACCTCCCTAACTCTGACCCATCAGAGTTCAGGGCAGAAGGTGGAAAAGCTGTAGGTGGTTCCAAAGCCTGAGTCCAACCTGCCCATCTCTGAGGAAACCAAGATAACTTGCTGGGTACAAAAAAAAAGAGGAAGAGAGAGAAAGGAGCAAAAGCACAGGGCTTTGTTAGCAGCCCTCAGGGCCCACACAGATGCTGCCTCTTTCCTAAGGTCATCCTAGGCCTCCACTTGCTGAAGAGGCTGCTGTGCCAGGTTGTGGCTCCCAAACCCTCTTCCCCTAACCCACCCAGGCACCCCTTCCCATTCCTCACCCTGAGCCCAGTTGGCTTCTTTTGCTACAATTAATTTGCTACAAATGGAAGGTACTTACCCCATCCTAGCTCGATTGGGAAACTCCTCAGAGCAGCTAAAGCGCAACTAGAGATTTGCACATTTACCGACTGCTTACACTGATGCCGTCTTTCCTTTTAAAAGTTATAAAACAGTAAACTTTATAAGCCCCAGTTCCGGCTATATGACATTTGGGTGCCAAATGAATAGGGTTTTGTCTATGAATTAGATCGTAAAATCATCCATAGCACAGACAGATCGGCTCACTGGCTATAAAACGTCACGTGGGGCCATTAAAGTAAGTTTTATGGTTTTGGGGAGTTGACATCCAACATTATATACCACATAACATATAATCTCACTGACGCTGGACTCCATTTGACTCTTTTGCAGGCTACGTGTGCCGCCTGGTCATTCAAATTGTCAATTTTAGGTCCAGAAGTGTCCAAACCACAAGTTCTCAAAACTCTCTGAAAAATGGCTCCCTCCGAGTTAAGGTAAGCTCGCCTCCTGAGCGCTTTCAAGTTTATTTGTACTCTGGAAAACTTTCTTCCTCGATCTCTCTCTCTCTCTCTGGTTCAATAACTCTGAGGTTGCCTCTGAATTCAAAAGGGCAGAGCCAACTTTTCCTCTGCCCACATTAGCAGCGCCAGGAGCCAGCTCTGCGGAGGCACCCCGGTGAAAAGCGCCTGTGGCCGCCGCGTCCCCAGGCCTAACTTTAATTGCTGCACAACCGCGAATGTTAATGACTTCCGCTGCTCTCGCCGGCGTGCAAAAGATGATTTTTGTGTTCGAATGGGCCTGTGTGCGGAGACTTGGCAAGGCCGCCCCCCATTCCAGGGCTGGCGGGGCTGGCTCGGCTGGCTCGGCTGGCTCGTCGAGGTGTAGCGGAGCCCTAGGGTGGGGGCTGGGAGACTGTGGGGCGCCGGGCCGCGGGCGCCGAGGGCCGCGCTGCGCTGAGGAGTGCTTGGAGTTTGAAAGAAAGGCCCAGGCAGGGCCGAGGCGGACTCTGGCGGGATTCCTTACGGGGCTGTGGCAATATGTCTTCGCGGGCCGGGGTCATTTGGCAGCACTGAATTGAGACGGCTGCCTTCGGGGCCGAGTTTCAGGCTGGCTCGTGAGAGAGCCGGAGGGTGGCAGAGGCCGGCGAGGCGCGGGCCGCACCTCCAGGCTGGGCCCCTGGGTTGCCAGGCCGAGCCCAGGACTGTGGGGACGGCGGGTCCCCACCTGGGGGTAGGGCTCACCATCCCCTCCCCCCGCACCCGGGACCAGGCCCTGAACCTTGTTTGCCTGCACGTTCTTTTTATTTCGGTGGGACTGTTCTCACCCGCCTGTGAGTCTGAAGCAATAAACTTTATGGCCGGATTTAACTTTAGTCTTTGAATCCCCAGGCTAAATGAAAGGAGTTAAAGCGCTTTCTTTTCTTCCGCCTTCCCTTTCTTCTCCCTCTCTTCGTTCCTTTTCCTCTCCTCCTTTGTAGAATTAAGACCTGCAGGCACAGGACGCTCAAAAGGCAACTTAGGGATCCCCTTAGGTAACACTAAAGATTAGAGACATTTACTCCCCCTCAACATACAGGCAAATTCTGTCTTCCAAACTGTGCCCTAAAGTTTGGGGGGAAGTCAAGGTGTCTTCAATGCCCAACTTAAAAGTCCCCAGAGCCATTAGGTTGTTTTTCCTGACACGTCATAAAGGATAGTTTAGGGAAGAAATTGGTCGTTTGTCAGTAGGAGATTTCCGCCTTTCTTTTGTTAGCTGCTCTTTCTGTTTGATCCCAGGAAATTTACATAATCTATGATTTCCAAAACAGTTCCCAATATTGCACCTACAATGAAGTAAGGTGAAATAAATTTTTCCTGGGTACAATTCCAACTTGGCCTCAGCCACCACCCCCTCTGGCCCCAAACCCTCACATTCTTCAGTGGCAAAGTGACTGGGGATGCTGTGGCCTGTCCACGGGTCTTTTTCTGGATGGGTACCCACAAGGGACCTAGCAGATTTCCCACCACTCCCTCTGAAGAATTAGACCAAATTCTCCAGCTCAGAAATGAAATAAAAAAAAAAAAATAGGACCTTCTGTCTCCAAATGCTTTTCTCCTTAGGAGCTAGATAGTATTCTGCAAGTGCTCATTGGTAAAGATATTTACTGAGTGCTTAAAGTGAAAAAAAAAAAATTAAGGTATAGTTTTGGAATTTCAACAAACTTTATTGTGCAGAGGCCACTTAAACTCAGCATAGGTCCAACAGTTGTCCCCAAAGTCAGAGGTCCAAAAAACAAACCTGGGAAGTTTTTTGAAAAATCAAAACCCTCCCACAAGTCCCACTTCTCTGAAATAGTGGCAAGGCAAATCCCTGAAGTCATCCTGCGTGACCTATTAAAGTACTGATATTTCAGCACTCAGGAAGATGTGTCCGCATCTTAGTGGGAACCAGAATATAAACTCTATTTGGGTTCTCTTTTGTCATTTTGTGTGTCTGTGAGAATTCTGGAGTCTGTTTTGCTGCTCTGACTTTTGAGTTCTTTACTGGAAAATATTGGGTTAAGGTTTTATTTTAGTTACTCATTTGGTGATCTTGCTTTAGTGATTTCTTGGTGACTAAAATTAGTAGCAGGGAAAAAAAGAGCGATAGGGCTTCTGGCAGGTTCACTTGAGTAACTTGCCCGGAGGAAGCGTCCACACCACGTCCGTGGCCACATCCCACCCTGGGTGTGGGAATGGGCAGAAAGGCTGTTGGACCGATATCCAGCATTACCCAATGTAGAGAATCTTTTCCATGAACTAAAAAAAAAAAAAAATACAGGCTATATATATTATCAGCTTGCTTATTTCTGTCTGTTGTAATCTTCGTGAAAGTTCAGAGTTCCTAAGAGAGCAGGTTAACTCACAAGGAGTTAAATGACTTTTTAAAAATACAGCATTCAGTCAGACCAATGTGAGCGTTATTGGAGACATTTTTTTCTTCCTATTTTCATAGGAAGCATAGTAAAGAGGATGGCTGGTTATCTGCTCATTTTGTAGATAAGTTATTTCTTCTTGTTCATTCTTTGGTGGTGTTTTTGCAGAGGAACTTACTTAGAAAAAAATCTCTGTCATTAAGGGCTTTATGAAGACATCCAGCCTCAGCTGGTGGCAGGAGTGTCTGTGCTCCTCATGTTGTAAAAGGAGAAGGTGTCCAGTATGTGCAGGGCCTCATTTGTTTCTACAAGCTGAAGAGACAATATTTCCTGAACTATAAATATAATAGGAAGCTTCTAGTCACAATTACTTAGGGGTTTGTTAGGGTTTCCATGGTCTAATTTCACAACATTATGCTGATATGCATATATTCCTTTTCTCCTGCTCTTTCCCCTGCTTCATTGTTGGCGGCTCTGGGAGAGCAGGACAGAATTCTCTACCAGAAATAGAGTCATGTTCGTTTGTTGAGATGTGAAGAGTATTATATCCAAGCAATTAGTGAGGGGAGAGCAAATTACATCCTGAAAGATGGGCTATTAAAGAGGAAAACAATCCTTTTAGCTTAAAAGATGCCCTTCGAAGCCTTTCCCCTGCCTTAGCTCGGGAGTCTGTCTGAGGTTTGCCCACCATGGAGAGTGCAGAATGTTGTGGGCTCCATCCCTTTGGCTTCTAAGGCAGAATTTCTTTCTAGTCAATGACAAAACTATAAACGGGGCTTCCAGACAAGGCTGAGGGGGTCAGCCGAGGTTCCCACCCACATAGGAGAGGGGAAGCACAGTCCTGGCCATTGTAAACCCCAGAACTGGAAGGTCTGCCTAGGTCTGTTTTGTTTGGTGGTTTTCACAAAGAAAGCTGTCCTTCTTCCACCAGGTCCCCTCCCCACAAACCGGTCTTTTCAATAATAATATTTGTTATGAAGGTTATTGGGTAATTACTGCGATTTTGTGAAGCAGCCCTTGCTGGAGGTGAAGTCTGTCATCGCCTAACAAATGACGCCCGTGCAGTTCACTGCCGGGTTAAGTAAATGCAGAGAAGATAAATCTGCACACCCTAGGAATCGCCAGCAGAGCACGCTTTAGTACAAGTTCACAGTCAACTCGCCTGCCTGGGCCAGCTCTCCCAACAATAAGGGCTGCATCTTTATTTTTAAATAAAGAAAAAAAAAAAATGTCTCCAACTCCCACTGCCTCCTTTCTCCCTGTCTTCTTTTTTCTTTCACTTTTTTTTTTTGAGATTCCATCCTCCTATTCCAGATTTTCCCTGTAAATGTGATGATGAGTGATTTTAAAAATAATCTCCCTCCTATTTAAGTGCTGACAAAAAGAGGTAGGAGGCTGGTTTGACAGGAAATACCGTCACAAACACCCAAGAATATCCAATTCACCCTCTTAATCCAAAAGGCAGTGGCAGAAGCAGGGTGTCCCTGAGATCCTGGGGGGCCCCTTCCCCCTGAAAGAAGAGGCACAGCTTTGTGTATCTTTGTGACTAGTGCGTTGCAACTGAGGGTCAAAAAGTTGAGGGTCAAAAGTTTATGTTGTACAGCACTCTTAGTCATCTGCCCAGACAGAGTTTGATG